TGTTTTATAGTGTAGATAACAAGTTTTGATATTGCCATCAAACTGATAGGGTAGTGTTGTCATAACCATGGTAATAAAAATATTTCTATGGCTCGGCATTTATATTGGGCAAATTTTTATCATTCATCACAAAATTATACCTGCACCCTAGGTGGTTCCCTGCAGGGGGTCATAACCAGGGGGAAGCTGATGAAAATGAATTCTGGTATTGGTGGCTGATCACTATCATTTAATATTTTTGTGAATAGAACATTTCTTAAAAAAAAGTGTATGAATTTATTAAAAATATTTATATCGTCTCCCAATCTGGAATTCATACTTTGTAACATTTGGATCAAAAGGTTCATGACGTTTTCTTGAACAGAATCCAATTAATACAACCTCGTACAGAGCTTCTTTGAATTACTGTGTGGACAAGATTAATGAAGGGATTGCCAATTTGGCATATTGTACCACTCAATAAATTAAAGTCATTAAATACTTTATGGCTACAATTAGCTGTAGTTATTGTGTTTCATATGACGTCATAAATTTGACGGGGGGAGGGTCAACTCTAAATCGAGACACAGTCATCAGAGTGAATTAATTTTTCACTGTGTGTGTTGGCCTTGTGTTTGGTGGTAAATACATGCAATTTCATATCATTTGCTCACCCCAGTACAACATAAGCATCAATACATTTTAGGTTGACCCCCTGTCAGAACGTGCAAAATGCCATAGTGACACCCAAGAATTCATTATATGTATTAGGTGTATGCAGACTGGAATACAAGTTAATATCACTGCCTGTGAAATTGTGGTTTATTTAGAGAATAAAGGTTTTTTGAACTCTTCTATAAATCAATTATAACAATTTACAGCAAAAGGTTCATATGCACCCATATAGGGAAGGGTTCATGCTACAAGTTAAAATGAGTATTACATACTCCTGCACTTGAAAAGTTTACAGTACAGTATATACATTAAATAATAAAATATATAGTAATATAACAGTAAATCCCAAGATTGGATTTATTGAAACTAGTCATTAGCTAGTTGCCTAGTTCTTCAATAAGTAGTCATTAGCTAACACAAAGTTGCAATTAAATAACACAAAGACAAACTAATAAAAGTTATTAACCATTTCTGACACATAGTATTTGCAAAATATAGCACATATTTGATATTATAGTCAAATAGTACGGTGTACTGACAGTACTGTATACTATGTATAGATTAAAATTACAGAAAACCTGTACAACATAAATATGAGTAAAGTTTTCACACTCCATTTAACAGTTGTGATATTATACGCATTAAGTATACGTTTCTTTGCATTTCCTTTGTAGTATTAGTACATAGCACAGCTTTGAAAAACCAAGTCAATATTCATACACTCCTAAACGGCCGCCATGTTGTATATAAAAATATACGGTTAAAAATTAATTTTTGCAAAATTGCAACATTCCATTGCATACCAGCAACCAATCATATTCATTTCCGACATGGATTATCCCAGAGCCTTCGTTTCCTTCCCAAGGATCGCAGGCTTGGGGAACGAGATTGGTAACAGAGGGTTTGAGTACATTGCGATTGGTTTCCAGGTCCTTTATCTCAATTTGTCATACCAAATTTCGGTACTTAGCCCAAAAAAAATAACAACATTAACAGCTATTAGTTCTGCAAAACGTAAGGGGGGGGGGGCATAATTTCAATTTTATTTCCGAGGGGGGTGGGGCACTGTCTCCCCCCCCCCCCAGGCTCCCCCTCAGCTACGGGCCTGTCATGTCGGCATTTGTAATTGCAAAGTACATACGGAAATTATTGTAAACAAATATTATAACAAGCGTAGATTCTGACGTTTGACAATTTGTTGTTATTTTACAAATGCCTAGTGATAATTGCCGAGTGCCGAGGTGAATTTTGAGGGTTGAGACGTCCTGCGCAAAGAAGTCCAGTCTCTCTTCAATTCCAAATACTGTAAGTATCAGGGTTCATGAGACATTAGGCTCCAGTCATCTTTCACTAATAGTCGAAAATGTAAAATTCGATTGTAAATATAGGATGAGGCAGTTAATCAATAAACAAGGAAAAAACTGATATTTTTTCAAAACTGATAAAGAAATTACACGTCATGTAATTAACAGTGCCTTTAAAATTTTGCCCACATCTACATTGTATATCATACATAATAAAGGATTATAGGGCTAGTGTAACTATATATATTGATTTCAAGTTGCATAAGTTTTTTAAAATATCAAACTTTCCATCAAGTCCTTTGTTTAATTTATTTATAGAAGAAGCAACAGGACTAAAAGGACCATTCCCATATAAAAGGCAGCTAGAATTTGATGTCAAAGGTTTACCTGGTTTATTAGCATTCCGGAAACCAAGTGGATATTGGACCTCCCAATTGAAGTCCATTTTGCAGTGCAAAGATCAAATAAAATTTAAAAGAAAGGAAGTCAATGATCGTAGCACGAGTACCTTCACTACCGACACCATCGCCATCATTGACCCTGTCAGCGACCCAACAACTCAAACACTATCAATAACCAACCAACAACACCAATGACTCAAACACAACCCAAACACCATCAGTGACCCTAGCTCCCTTCATGACCATGTCATCACAAGCGATCAAACACCCTCAACGACCCCTATCAACAAAAACATAAAATCTTGGTGTAAAGGATATAAAAAAGCAAGACGTAAATGATATGAATCTAGCCTTCGGCTTGACTGATAACACTTATCTCAACTATAGACCATACCCATTATGATGTGGCACCTTGGTTAGAAAGTCAGAAAATACTGGCAAAGCACACTGGTCTTAGTAGTTAAATTATGCCATGAAATGTCATAATGGGTATGGTCTATTCTGGATATCACAAAAGCCTCATCAAATACTGTTTATTAGCATGGTTTTAGAATTAAGGGGGTCTACCTGAATATGACTTTCAAAATGAATTTTTTTTCTTTTCACTTTTTGATGGCTTAGGTATTCAACTTCTTGGTGGTTAATGATTTTCTTTCAGTATCATGATATATAGGAGTTTTTTAAACATATTTTGTAATGTAGGTAATCTAAAAACTATCATTGCTATGGCAATGAAAATGTGCATTTTCAAAACAGGCATAGTTTCATGGCCTTGCAATTCGTCAAAACATGATAAAAAGTCAAATCCAACAAAACGAAAGCTGGAGATTTCTGTGTACAAAATGAAGAAGAATATAATTGCCATACTTTACGATATTGTCGATTTAAATTATCTAGACAAGCAACATAGATTTTGTCCTCTGCGAGAATCGTCTTGATGTAAGTGGTAACAGGATGTGGCAACAGGAACAAAAACATACAAGAATGATAATTTTTACATTCCGAAACCAAAAATCAACACATCACGCATTAGAATCATATCATTTTCACCCACCACAGAGCACACATACCAAATTCAACTAACATTCACACTGTTCCTAGACGAAATAATCAACAGATTTTTTCGCGCAAAACATGTATAATTCATCAAAGGAACAGAATGAATATTTATATGCGAGCACGTAGTTCCAAGACCAGCTAGCGGGGTCGAAACGTGCTTTCCCGGTTATGCTTGGAGCCTGATGAGAACATAACCTTAGTTTTGAACACAAAACACATGGGACTTGACCTGGGTGGCGATACATTGGCATTCACCCAGGTCTTGGCATCATCACAATACATCTCACATTATAAACGCACCCGGGTTATGCCTGCGCGATCTTCACAAAAACAATCAATCGAGTCATACACGTCACAGTTTTACTATTCATGTCTCATTTTAGCTTGAATGTTCAGACTTATGTATCACTTATATTTCATATCATTTTACATTTCATATATCACCAGTATCATCACTTTATATCTATGTTATTAATCAAGCTTCACCAACATCATCACAGTCCACGCATCATCATAACATAATTCACTAAAATCATCATTATCTATACCATTCCAATTCTATCAGTCACATTGAATCGAAATTTCATTTCACTCCACACATCATTTGATGTTCACCCAATAGAATGTTCCAGCAGGGCCATTTCACAGCATTCCAGCAATACCTGCAACCACCTTTTTGATCCAATTCTAAAAAACAAACAACAAATTGCTATGTATTGGCAGGAAAAAGTTAAGTATCGAGAGATCTCCTGGTAAATTAATAAATAATGGCCACATGGGTTGAACAATGAATCGAATAATAAACATATTAACAGATTCATAATCACTTTACCATATCAACAAACCTGTTCTATATCCAACCTCACAAAGACTTATATGAGGTCCATGTCCAGGCAAAACACTGCAACACATTCATTCATATTGTAACCCAATTCCATTTATCGGGATATTAGAAGACTTCCATCCAGACAAATTGCAAAATGGACACTGACCAAAGTCATACTCAATTTCAATTTGAATTAGAGGGGCTACAACGTTTGCTCATTCTATCAGACCCAGAATTTGAGAACAACCTATTCACCAACACAACATCCGACTCACCATCCACCATATCAACCAACCCAATTTGATTTCCACTCTCCCACAATTCACCCCACCTGTTGACACAATGGACACAACCACAACCTCCACCCAGATCCAGCCTACAAGTACCCCAATCCAGTCCCCAAATGCCATCCCAACCTCAGCCCAAACCACCTCCACCCTAACATTGCCAGCCGACATGGGCCAACCCAGCAATATCCCAACCACATCCCAACCAATCATACCACAAACCCCCCTAACACACCAAATCACCACCACCACACCTCAACCACCTATCACTTCCAATAACACAACCACCATGTTCAATAAACTTGTTGAACTCCATCACCACAAGAATGACCATCAACGACAGTTGACCATTCTCAACAAACACATTACAAACCACACTGCACCGGCTGGCCTGAACATCAGCATTCAACCCTGGGTCCAACTGTCACCAAAGCTCAAGGAAGCATGACACACTGGCATCCAGAACTGCATGTCCCACCTCACAGACATCCTGCACCAACACCACTCAGAGGAATCATCCAAAATTGATGGGCAAATCTCATCACTTTCCACAAAACTAAACGACAATCTCCCACAGGAGTTGTCTAGCACTATCATCCATATCGCAAGCACTCACAGACCACCATCCGAACGCAAAACAACACCTAAGTCAAACACCAAACATCAACCAAAGTGCCCCAAATCCACAGCAACCACTTCACATCCCGCGAAACCTGAAAACAAGCAGGTCTCTCAGAAATGGCCACATCACCAACAACACAGGGAACCATCACCTCCCACCTCCAAACCACCATTAGGAGTACCACCTCCACCCAGCAACACTACACCACTACACCCGCCAATGACCACAATACCAGCTCTAACCAGCATCATGCATTCCTCCATCAAGCAACGACTGATGGGGAAACAAACACAGTTCCCCACCATATACAACATGTTCATGAATGGAAGACAATAAATTTTTCCCTCATTAACAACCACCACCAATGCAATGTAAATAGTCTAGGCCTGTACATATGATAATCCACACACTTCACATAGTTTAATTAATACACAATTGTCAAATAAAGATATGCAGTTACAGAATATTTATTAAATTCATGAACATTATAAAGTTGTACAGTTGTTTAATTCATACATATCCACTCTAAACCGAGACCCAAAACCCACCTGAAGTGTATCATGACCAACCAGCATAACACCATACGAACGCCTCACCATTCAGCTTTCAAAGAACGAGAAATAAAAGGCAAAAATGTCTGTCGCGGGCTCGGCCACAGAGCAAATATCAAAATATTAATATGCATCTCAACCAGCATATTTCACCGTTGTAATACAAATACCGAGAAATAATATAAAAATGACGGACAAATTTCTTATTTCGTGGCAGAAAACTTTTTGTCACAAACTGTGCCACGGAGCATTCACACTACTTAACACTCACCACCGTCACATCCATTTCGAACTACCGTTCACCTTTCAAAGAACGAGAAGTAGACGGAAGACAAATTTTGTGGCAAAACATTTTCTGTCACAAACTCTGCCACGAAGCTATCAAAACATCAATATATCCTTCGCTATCCATTTGAAACAACTTTCAATATTATTTTCAACCGATGTTTCCACTTTCATCAGAAACACATTCACACAACATCGATACACCCAACCCACTCGAAACTTCCCAGGCCCACTCCCTATTCAACACTTTTCAATCCACTATTCTGAGCAGTAATCCCAAACCTAACCCAATCCCCACCGGAACCTTAATCCAAAAACTTATTCCCAACCCTTATAATCCAAACCCTACCCTATCAACTAACCCTACCCTAACTAAGCCCACTCTAATCAAACCCCCTACATTTTAGGATTCGTCTTCCCCCCCCCCCGTGCGTAATTTTAGAACCCCTCTCCTCCCAAGAATTCCTTTTCGCCTTGCCTACACGCAAGGTACGGTTCACCACAGTTATACGAGTAAGTAAATTTCAATTTTTACATTCCCAAACCAAAAATCAACACATCACGCATTAGAATCATATCATTTTCACCCACCACAAAGCACACATACCAAATTCAACTAACATTCACACTGTTCCTAGACGAAATAATCAACAGATTTTTTCGCGCAAAACATGTATAATTCATCAAAGGAACAGAAATGAATATATATATGCAAGCACGTAGTTCCAAGACCAGCTAGCGGGGTCGAAACGTGCTTTCCCGGTTATGCTTGGAGCCTGATGAGAACATAACCTTAGTTTTGAACACAAAACACATGGGACTTGACCTGGGTGGCGATACATTGGCATTCACCCAGGTCTTGGCATCATCACAATACATCTCACATTATAAACGCACCCGGGTTATGCCTGCGCGATCTTCACAAAAACAATCAATCGAGTCATACACGTCACAGTTTTACTATTCATGTCTCATTTTAGCTTGAATGTTCAGACTTATGTATCACTTATATTTCATATCATTTTACAACTCATATACCACCAGCATCATCACTTTATATCTATGTTATAAATCAAGCTTCACCAACATCATCACAGTCCATGCATCATCATAACATAATTCACTAAAATCATCATCTATGCCATTCCAATTCTATCAGTCACATTGAATCGAAATTTCATTTCACTCCACACATCATTTGATGTTCACCCAATAGAATGTTCCAACAGGTCCAGCAGGGCCATTTCACAGCATTCCAGGATCTGAATACCTGCAACCACCTTTTTGATCCAATTCTAAAAAAACAAACAACAAATTGCTATGTATTGGCAGGAAAAAGTTAAGTATCAAGAGATCTCCTGGTAAATTAATAAATAATGGCCACATGGGTTGAACAATGAATCGAATAATAAACATATTAACAGATTCATAATCACTTTTCCATATCAACAAACCTGTTCTATATCCAACCTTACAAAGACTTATATGAGGTCCATGTCCAGGCAAAACACTGCAACACATTCATTCATATTGTAACCCAATTCCATTTATCAGGATATTAGAAGACTTCCATCCAGACAAATTGCAAAATGGACACTGACCAAAGTCATACTCAATTTCAATTTGAATTAGAGGGGCTACAACGTTTGCTCATTCTATCAGACCCAGAATTTGAGAACAACCTATTCACCAACACACCATCCGACTCACCATCCACCATATCAACCAACCCAATTTCGACTTCCACTCTCCCACAATTCACCCCACCTGTTGACACACCAACCAACATATCCCAAAGTCCCGGCACAATGGACACAACCACAACCTCCACCCAGATCCAGCCTACAAGTACCCCAATCCAGTCCCCAAATGCCATCCCAACCTCAGCCCAAACCACCTCCACCCTAACATTGCCAGCCGACATGGGCCAACCCAGCAATATCCCAACCACATCCCAACCAATCATACCACAAACCCCCCTAACACACCAAATCACCACCACCACACCTCAACCACCTATCACTCCCAATAACACAACCACCATGTTCAATAAACTTGTTGAACTCCATCACCACAAGAATGACCATCAACGACAGTTGACCATTCTCAACAAACACATCACAAACCACACCGCACCGGCTGGCCTCAACATCAGCATTCAACCCTGGGTCCAACTGTCACCAAAGCTCAAGGAAGCATGGGACACTGGCATCCAGAACTGCATGTCCCACCTCACAGACATCCTGCACCAACACCACTCAGAGGAATCATCCAAAATTGATGGGCAAATCTCATCACTTTCCACAAAACTAAATGACAATCTCCCACAGGAGTTGTCTAGCACTATCATCCATATCGCAAGCACTCACAGACCACCATCCAAACGCAAAACAACACCTAAGTCAAACACCAAACATCAACCAAAGCGCCCCAAATCCACAGCAACCACTTCACATCCCGCGAAACCTGAAAACAAGCAGGTCTCTCAGAAATGGCCACATCACCAACAACACAGGGAACCATTACCTCCCACCTCCAAACCACCATTACGAGTACCACCTCCACCCAGCAACACTACACCACTACACCCGCCAATGATCACAATACCAGCTCTAACCAGCATCATGCATTCCTCCATCAAGCAACGACTGATGGGGAAACAAACACAGTTCCCCACCATATACAACATGTTCATGAATGGAAGACAATTTTTCCCTCATTAACAACCACCACCAATGCAATGTAAATAGTCTAGGCCTGTACATGATAATCCACACACTTCACATAGTTTAATTAATACACAATTGTCAAATAAAGATATGCAGTTACAGAATATTCATTAAATTCATGAACATTATAAAGTTGTACAGTTGTTTAATTCATACATATCCACCCTAAACCCAGACCCAAAACCCACCTGAAGTGTATCATGACCAACCAGCATAACACCATACGAACGCCTCACCATTCAGCTTTCAAAGAACGAGAAATAAAAGGCAAAAATGTCTGTCGCGGGCTCGGCCACAGAGCAAATATCAAAATATTAATATGCATCTCAACCACCATATTTCACCGTTGTAATACAAATACCGAGAAATAATATAAAAATGACAGACAAATTTCTTATTTCGTGGCAGAAAACTTTTTGTCACAAACTGTGCCACGGAGCATTCGCACACTACTTAACACTCACCACCGTCACATCCATTTCGAACTACCGTTCACCTTTCAAAGAACGAGAAGTAGACGGAAGACAAATTTTGTGGCAAAAAATCTTCTGTCACAAACTCTGCCACGAAGCTATCAAAACATCAATATATCCTTCGCAATCCATTTGAAACAACTTTCAATATTATTTTCAACCGATGTTTCCACTTTCATCAGAGACACATTCACACAACATCGATACACCCAACCCACTCGAAACTTCCCAGGCCCACTCCCTATTCAACACTTTTCAA